AACAGATTTGTAAGATTCTTTTTGCCCCAAAGTGTGCTCTAATGGTTTGGCATTTAAACTGTTTTCTATTTGTTTTGATTATTGTACAAAATGAAATGTATCGTTATTAAAAGTATAATTAGTTTTTTTTAAAAGCAATACCATTCTGATGTATTTCTCTTGGAAAGTGCTGCTGGTGTCTGGGAGGTTTATGGTTTTTCATGCTCTTACTGAGATGTTTAGTTTGTGTAAGCTGAAATGCTGATGAAAAAGAGTTTTGTCTTTCTCCCTTTGTCTTAAATGACCTCTTTGATAAGGCTCATCCTAGGTGTGTACCAGGATAAGGTTGTAGCCTTAATCATAATGTTCTCCTATAGAAATGCTAAATATTGAAGTTTCAGAGAAGGTGGAATTTGAATGATTGGTTTACTTACCAGGCTCTTCCTCCTTCTCTAAGTGGAGGAGGGTTCTCTCTCTGTGAGGGTCATCAGTGTCTTAGGTGCACCTTGGAAGGATAGAGGACCCACAGAAGGCCAGAGGGGAATGCTTGCTTCCCTAGATCTTGGTCCTGTAGTAGGTTTTAGCTGAGCAGAGATGAGTAGGTTTCCAGTGTTTGGGCTGCTCTGTTGGGTGGAAAAACCCTTTTTCTCTGTTTTCATAGTTAAATGCGCTATCATATGTTTTTTTCTCCTCCCCAAGTTTTCCTGGAACCTGGGCTCCCGGAGACGCAGCGCTGGAGCAGATGGATAATGGAGACTGGGGCTATATGGTGAGAGACTTTTGCAGATGCGCTTTGAAGGCTGGCAGATTATTTTTGTGTGTGTTTCCCTCCTCTTATGTATTCTTAGGTATAATACATCTTACAAGAATGAAAATTATAAATTGGTGCAACCCCCCCCCCCCAATTAGTTTACATGTAATTTTGGGGTGTTGTTTTTATGTAAGCATATTCAATTTAGACTTTCCAAGTAACTTTTTATAATCTCTTATTTGAGAGAGGTCATGATTTTTTAGTCTTTAAAGTATGTTGCTCTTAAAACTCTTCCTTCCTAGAAGAGTGACCTGGTAGGTCCGGGCACCGAGGCTGTGCTCTTGTGGTGAGGCGGGGCAACAGTTGAGAAGGTGCCGCTTCTCCTGCTTGTGCTTGTTTTACACGTGCATGTGTCTTCCTATTTTTCTTTTCCTTTGGTAAGAAATACTTTACTTGTCTAGTACCTGAAGTCTGTCCATCTTTATTTTTTTTCTTAAATATGTGTTTCTAAACAGAAGGTATTATTATTTAGAGAAGCTTGCTTTTCAAAGTTAAAGGCCAGATTGCAACATTGATGTTACAAAAGTGAATACACTATCAGATTATGAAATTTGAAAGCTGCTGTTAGCCTTTGGGTATATGAGATTGTGTTGACCAAACTGTGTATTTTAACTTCGCATTTGGCACTGTGATTTCCATGACAAAGTTATGAAGATTAGGTCTGTACAAATTTTTATTTTTAAAATAAATTGCACTATTCATTTCCCTTTTTTGAGGGGGAAAGAAACAAAAATATTGAAAGTAAATGTCCTTATGTTATCAAATCATTTTTATTCTATTTTATGTTAAATTGACTTAAGAAAAGTGAAAGTCCCTTTTTTTCTAATCAGAAAGAAACTTAAATTAGCATATTTTAGTTTGGCGTTTCTCTTTGCATAAAATACTCTGACCTGAAAACTTCCCTCTAGACACTGGGCCTGGAATGTAGTGGCTTTCGAAGTCAGGCCGCCATTTCTTAGTGTAAATCTTTAAAGAGTTGGATTTATCCCTTTTTTCCCTGTTGAAAGCAAATGTTACTCCCTTCGTCTGGGTGGGTTTATCACTGAAAGTAAGGCTATTTTGCACTATAGGATTGCTAAGTGCCTTATAGCCTGAAGGAATCTTTTGCTTTGCTTGTTACTGTTAATTTTCTTAATTTGTCAAAGTTAAGATTTAAAGAATTTCAGATGACTGATCCTTTTTTAAAAAATTTCAGATGACTGATCCAGTCACGTTAAATGTAGGTGGACACTTGTACACAACGTCTCTCACCACATTGACGCGATACCCGGATTCCATGCTTGGAGCTATGTTTGGGGGGGACTTCCCCACAGCTCGAGACCCTCAAGGCAATTACTTCATTGATCGAGACGGACCGCTTTTTCGATATGTCCTCAACTTTTTAAGAACTTCAGAGTTGACCTTACCCCTGGACTTTAAGGAATTTGACCTGCTTCGGAAAGAAGCAGATTTTTATCAGATTGAGCCCTTGATTCAGTGTCTCAATGACCCTAAGCCTTTGTATCCTATGGATACTTTTGAAGAAGTTGTGGAGTTATCTAGTACACGGAAGCTTTCTAAGTACTCCAATCCAGTAGCTGTCATTATAACCCAGTTAACCATCACCACCAAGGTCCATTCCTTACTAGAAGGTATCTCAAACTATTTTACAAAGTGGAATAAACACATGATGGATACCAGAGATTGCCAGGTTTCCTTTACTTTTGGACCCTGTGATTATCACCAGGAAGTCTCTCTCCGGGTCCACCTGATGGAGTACATTACAAAACAAGGTTTCACGATCCGCAACACCCGGGTGCACCACATGAGTGAGCGGGCCAATGAGAACACAGTGGAGCACAACTGGACTTTCTGCAGGCTGGCGCGGAAGACGGACGACTGATCGCCAACCCTGAGAGCAGGTCCTGGAAACTGACTCTCCAGCAGGTGGAAGAGACTGATTTTTTTTAAATTTCAGTGTGGGATTTTTTTTTCTTAATATTTGTATTTATTTGAAGGCATTGAGGACCAGAAGGAAGTTTTGTGCTTTAGCAGACTCCTCTGTTTTGTTCCCTTCATCCTGAGTATGCATGTGCCTGTTCAGAGCCTCCAGATACCTTTTTTATAAAAAGAAGTTGGAAAATCATTATGGTATATAATCTACCCTTAACAGAGCTTTTTTATTACAGTGCTAAAATGATTTCTGATTAAATGGTCCCTAACTCAACTAGAAGGCTAAAAATGCAGGAATGAAAGAATAAACAGAGTACTCATGAGGCCTTTGAGAAAATTCAAAACATCATGTAGGGTGACCTAGTTTCCAAACCGATAAGCAGTATTGTAATATTAAAGGAAAACTGTTCCAATCATTTAAAAGTACTTGTTAAGTACTGCTTTTTACAGTTATGACAACTGTTTCTTTCTATGCATATAAATCAAGCAACCAAATATCTGTAGCCATGGAAATGTCTGACTAGAAATATTTATATTGGATTCTGAATACAAAATGTCCCTGTGGTAGAAATCTTACTTCTTATGCCTGGTGCAGTATAATTCCCAAGTGTACTGTCTACCAGAAAAAAAACTAATAAAAAATGAAATATGAAAATTAGGTTTGTATTTATTGATTATTATTACGTAAGGGGGAAAATCATATTCCTTGTCTAAAGTATGCATTGTTTGTTTTATGTCCCGATATGTACTGCCTGCAGCACGTTTGCATTTAATCCAAGAGGACTCAGTGGAACCTTAGGATGTAGTTTATAGAACTACTGTGTCACTGAAGCAGGGATAGACGGCATTATTAATTTTGTCTAAAAGAGTGCATATCTGAACAGTGAACGTACAGTTTGACAGATTTTTTCAAATAGGACTTATGTGGAAGATTATAGGTTTTTCTTCAATAAGCCACTAGTTGTCAGCTCTGAATATGACCCTTACTCTCGCTCTGTGTCGAGAAGAGGGACAAACTGACTCCAGCCACTTTATTCTTGTATATTATGGGACCTGGAAATGTATTTTATTATTACAGTTAAGTTTATTTCTGAGGAGAAGAAATAAACTGCAGTGAATGAAGGATCTGGAACAGTTGGAGATATGTATGTACTTTTATTTATTTCACCATCATCTTACTTTGCATAGTTCCTTTGATTCTGTTTCTTGGAAGTTACTTACAGGAACGATTATGTTAACTATACTGAGACTTCCCAGTTTGCAGGAACACCTTATAAAAGGAAGTCATGAAGTTTCTTCCTGGTTTTCTAAGGGAGGAGTGGGGCTCTGAGGCTGTGTGCCTGGGGCATCTCTCTCTGAGGAGATTCTGAGATTCTCTCTGAAAGGAGGATGAGAACACTTACCTACATCCATTTTTGCTTATGCCTCTCTGAAAATTTAAGATTTGACACATGACCGAAATCCAGAAGCCTGTATAATTATCCTATTTTCACCATCTTCAAACTAAAATTCCTAATATTAATAGCAGGTTGCTGTAGTTTCAGTAAATGTACTAGTTTGAGGTTATCTTTTTAGAAAATTGTCTCCCACTTCAAATTGATTGTTAGTTACCTAACAAACAAACAAACACACAAACAAAGCCCCCAGCCCGTTACATGTTGTTGAATTAGCTGAGGTGAATGCAAGGTAAAATGATTTGGGTTGAAAACAGGTATGGAAATGGGAATAATATTAGTTGCTCCTTTAAAAGTTAAAAACTTACGTCTCTTCCTTGCTCAGTTTACTGTAGATAAGTTTGCTTTTGGTACGTTTTCTCAGGTTTATTAATTATTAGCAACTAAATGATTATATGAGTAAATTAGGAAAAGTAGCCAGCTGAGATTTTTCTGCAATTTAATTTGTCTGATGGCATTTGATTTTGAGTATTTTATCTACTTGGGCAATTGAGAATGATGTGAAAAATGTAGCTTGATTATATTTGGGTAATTTGAGACAGTTATGTCTTTTTTATGAAATTTTAAATCATTTTCACTGTGGAAGAGTTGATTTTTAAAAATTGATACTTAGTTGCATTCTTAGGGCTCTACATTTTATTTAGATTACATGAAGTATAGACACTTTTGGAGAGGATCGTGTGTGTGTACGTGTGTGTGTGTGTGTTCTTTTAAACCCTCGGATAAATGTGTGCTAAAGACATAAGTGATAACTAATGAGTCTGTTGGCTTTTGCTAGATCTAAAGCAAAACCTTGGTATTTAGCAAAATAGATGTTACAAATGGACAGTGCTACAGTTTTTTATTGTGGGAAATTTCAGACATATTCAGAAATAGACAATAGTGTAACCACCTGTGTACCCATTGACCAACTTCAACTATTCATCCCCCCTTTTTCCTCCCATGGATTATTTTGAAGTAAATCACAGATATTTCATCCACTTCAGATTGTGTCTCTAAAAGATAGACCCTCTTTTAAAAATACATACATAGGTACTTTTAAATTTTAATCATATATATGCCATAGTACCATTATCACATAGCAGTGCCTCTTGAGCGCTGTTGACTGTTTCATAGCTTGGATCTGCAACTTTGTAGTAGTGGTCTTATATATTTTTCATAGGCAGGGTTCTCCTGTTTGTACAAAGAAGTGCATTATTAAGACAACATTTCTGCCAGGATTAATGACTTTCACTTTCAAATTAAGTTTTCAGTTTAAAGAAAGCAACATTACATAAGAGTCTTAATTTTTAAAATTATTTTTTAAATTCATTTTGTATGAACATATGGAGAAACATTTTTTTCAAAGGGCATCCTTCCCTTTCTCATGCAGATTTTAAGTTGTGATGCAGGTGGCCAGTTAAAAAAACACAGCTTATCATTTACTTTTAGAATTTAATACAAATAAAAGACTCTTTGAACTTGAGCATTAACCACAAAGCAAGGAACCAGAAGGTGGAATTAGGTAAGCAATATTGTATGTCAGAATAGTCATCCCCATTATTCTCTAATGTAGTGACTCAATTCTTTTCTTCACAGTGCTAGCCGTATCTTTTGTAATATTTACTTGTTTATTAACTTTTTGGCCTGTCTAGGCTAAAACTGTAAGCTCCTTGAAGACAAGGGCTGTTATTCTTGTTCTCCACTGTATCCTTAGTACCTAGAATAGATTCTGGCGTATAGTATAAGCTCAATAAATATTTGTTGAATGACTGCATGAATGAAAGAGTAGATGCATTTAGCACCTACTTGGACAAATTTCACAATAGAATCATTAGGGGAAAATAGGATTCTTGTTTTGGAATTATCCCCAGCGATTCCTCACTGCTTGCATCTGTAGGGAATCACTTAGTTATGAGTTCATGAGGGGAAATAGCCTTTTGCAGTTCACTTTGGAGAAACTGGCTTGAACTAGCATCCCACATCAGGAAAAGAGCCAAAAAGCAGACACCATGGTTAGAGTAAATGATGAGAGAGTACATCATCCTGGCTAGGGATAAGCTCAACACTTAACCTACACAGATGGAAGAGAGGCTGGCTTAGGATTCTAAGACATTTAACTTAGCATAACACTTCTCTTTCAGTAGAAAACATCACTGAAATATGTTCCCATTTGTGCTTTTGTGTCTACAAGTCATGTTTCAACATAGCTGTTGTTTTAACTTGCTACTGTAGCGTGCCTTTTGCTACTGGTGCAAGTGAAGAAAAATGTCTCTTTGCAGTTTCAAAATTATCTACAGCAGATTAGGAGAATACACTTTAAAAGTGATATTTTGGGCCGGCCCGTGGCGTACTGTTTGAATTTGCATGCTTCCCTTCAGTGGCCCGGGGTTTGTAGGTTTGGAATCCTGGGCATGGACCTATACACCACTCATCAAATCATGCTGTGGCAGCATCCCACATACAAAATAGAGAAAAACTGGCATGGATGTTAGCTCAGAGACAATCTTCCTCAAGCAAAAGGAGGAAGATTGGCAATGGATGTTAGCTCAGGGCCAATCTTCCTCACCAAAAAAACAAGTGGTATTTTGATGGTCTTTAGAGAAGCCAGCAATGAAAGATTATGTGGCTATACGTTAGCAATCAACCGAGTATCATTTTAACCAACTGGAAAGAGTTCTCCAAGATAGTTTGTAATCTCACGTTCCTAAATTTCTGTGCATGAAAGAGCCGCATTGCTGTACCTGTCACCTTTTTAGCAACATAACGTAATGGTGAACATTTGCAGCATTGTGTATGCAGTAGGCTCCTTCGTCTCTCTGTGTGGGTCATAAAACCATGTTCATTTATTCCACAAATGCAAAGTGTCTACTCTGTGATAGACCCTGAAGTCAGGAAGATGAAGACTCCATCCTTGTTCACGGTCAAGTGGCAGGAGAGGGGAAAGAGAAGAGTGAATGGGACAAAGTGCATCATCATTTTACCAAATCTGCAGTGGCTGCGGGTCAGTCACGGCCCACCTTTAGGTAAGCCTGCCCTCATTTAGTATCCAGATTAAATTCTTTAAAAATGAAGATTAGAAACAAACTAAAAAACAAGCCAGCCCCTTATGTTTTGTAGTGGAGGTGAGGATTCAGGAGAACTGGCGTGTTTCCTTGTGTTGCTAGCAAAACAGGTTGAGCTGGATACGTCCGTGTTTCCTGACAGGTCGTCCCGCAGGGTTGGTTTTTCTCTGGAGCACCAGAGGGGCTGCATTTACCTTTAGACCACGAGAACTGATCTGGAGTGGGAGGACTGCTGTAGTTTTATGCCAGGATTTAAACGTTAGTACGTAGAGAGATCTAGTCATTAGAAAGAATAACACACTAGGCGTAGCTTAACTGTGCTAAGCACTAAATGTGTCATACCTTCCTCAGGTACGTTCTTTGTATTTCCTTGTTGAGTTAAAAGGATACCTTCCTGGAGACAGGAATGACCAAAATGGACTGGCCGCCTATCTAACAGCCGTCTTAGGGGTAACCGGTAGTGTTAGAGCTTTAGATAATCACGTTAAATTAAGCTATGAGCTATGACAGGATGCAGCAAGTTAAGAGCAAGTCTAACACCATGCCAAGTGTGAGTGAAAGCCTGAGAGCTGCCAATGTGATGAGGTGTTAAGACAGCTTTTCTGAAATTTGACCTAAGAGGTAAAAAGTAAGCTTCACCATCTGAGTAACAAATTTGCATTATAGAACTTAAAATAATCTGTTGTGTACCTGTAGACTGCCTTTGTTTTGATCAGCTGTATCAAATCTGCTATTAAAGATGGGTTCCTCAAATTCTTAAATGCAGGGTTTATTTTTTTACTTCAGCTATTGTAGTTATTGATATTCATAACTTTTCCCAGGGAGGCTCATAGCAGAGTGTGGGACCCTGGCCCATGACTACGAGGAATTTATGAGTCCTCCTCCTTTTCTGTTAGTGACCTCAAGTTCTGGTATTCTCTCCTAGGACAGCTGGCACTCTTTTCACGTAACCCTTTCTGCCGTCATTTATATGGTTTCCTGGGCTATTGACGGCAGAGCAGCAGCCTTCTTTGTTCCTGGGATTGGGTTCCCCAGTAAAGAGGAAGGAGCTTCTCTAGCAGGCAGTGACGTCTGAGGGAGACCACTCCCGCTAGACTCCTCTCACCTCTGAATACCCACTTTTATCAACACAAAACTGAGAGTTAAACGGCTGAAAATAAGATGGTTAAACCCTGCAGTGCTTTATCTTCTTATTTTTTTTCTTTTTCTCCCCAAAGCCCCCAGGTACATAGTTGTATATTCTTAGTTGTGGGTCCTTCTAGTTGTGGCATGTGGAATGCTGCCTCAGCGTGACTCCATGAGCAGTGCCATGTCCACTCCCAGGATTCGAACTGACGAAACACTGGGCTGCCTGCAGCGGAGCGCGCGAACTTAACCACTTGGCCACGGGGCCAGCCCCCAGTGCTTTATCTTCTTATTTTTGTTACTCAAAAGCCAGCTTGCCCTTGGGTATGTCAAGCCATGATTTAGAGCTTGGGCCTTCCTCCTAATTCCCTTTACCAAATTCCAAGCGATACAGTTTGCTGATTGTAGTCTAGACTCAGAGTTCCTGCCGGGCCACGTCCTCGTCCTGGTTTCTTTTATGTATTCTCAAAATATGTTAAACAGACACACTATGCCAAGTGATTTCCAACCTAATGGGGAAACACAGAGGTGTCCTCACTGCTTGTTCTCTCCTGTTTCACATCATTTATAATGTGTTCTACTCGATTACCTGAGTATTGCTTGGTGACTTCTGAGCCCAATCGAACAGACGTTCATAGACATTTCCATCGTAACAGCCAAGTGCTGAATTTAAGCACTGATCGGTGAAGTCAAAAGCATCAGTTAACAAGATGGCATCCTTCCTGTGAGAGAAAACAAGAGTTCCTGAGTAATTTAGACTCTTCTTATAAATCCAATTAACCTGGGATGGTGAATAACAACACCCTATAGAGATTGCATCATTTTTCACTGTCAAACAACTCAGCGTTAATTTTTGATTAGTTTTATATGCACAGTGTAAAGAGTCAAATCGTTCTTTAAGGCTTGTTATTTAAAATCAGCATATCCCTGTCTTTCACTTCCACTCCATCTCCTGCCCCCCATTCAATCAGTTTCAGTTTCAGTCTTCTAGCTGATATTTTTGGTATTTACCTGAATGTCTCTAACTATCTTGTTTGTATTGCTACTTCTTGATTATTCAGTTTTAGATATCTCTTGACTCTCCATTACAAAAGATAATGATTTATTTTTATGAATTGATTTTTGCTGAGGAAGATTTGCCCTGAGCTATCTGTTGCCAATCTTTCTCTTCTTTTGCTTGGAGAAGATTAGCCCAGAGCAAATATCTCTGCCAGTCTTCCTCTATTTTGTACGTGGGTCACCACCACAGCATGGCTGATGAGCAGTGTAGGTCCATGCCTGGGATCTGAACCTGTGAACCCAGGACGCCGAAGTGGACTGCACTGAATTTAACCACTACACAACGAGGTGGACTCAGGATTTATTTTTAGCACCCCTCTCCTCACCCCTACCTATTGTCCCCCCACCCCCGACCTAGGCTTCTTTCTCTTGGCCTTCCTGCCTCCCAATATAGTTATAATTTTGGCCAGACTAATATCCAGTGCTTACATTGTTATGCCTGTATGTATCCTATATATTATTGTGACTTTATGTGCCCTTTTCACAGCTGAGCTGTGTCCCTCTGATCTACCTCTAGGCTCACTGTTTCTCCGACACTCCTGTCACAATTCTTAGTGATTTCATGGTCTGTGTGAATGTACCTCTAAAACTTGGCTTCTCCGGTTCCTTGATCTTCTTCATTGACATTGTCCTACAGCCTCCTTCTGTCACTCTCTGCCAAGATCACACACCAAGCCTCATCACCGACATCTGCACCTTCTCTAACCTCAGCCATGTTCCTTTCACCATCTCCTATCTTTCTAGTATTCTGACTTCTATAATTCTTTTCCCTTTCAAACAACAAAATGTGTTTTATTTTAACCTACTGAATGAAATGTAAGAAAGAATTGTTCACGTGCTTCCCTCCTTTTTTTTAGCAAAGGCTATAAAGCCTAATATGCAATTGTTTGTTTACACTCTTCCCTAACCTTGTTTCACACAGCATTTGAAGTGACTGGGATACTGTACCTGTTTTAATCCTTCCTGGATGCCCCTGCTCCATCATTATGAGACGATTTTTATATAGGGCTGTTTATAATTCTTTGACCCTACTGGCACCTACCATCCATTTACTGTTCCTCATCCCCCTTGTGGTCTCAGTTCCCTCCTTATCCAGCTGAAGTTCCTTGGTCTATTATATTCACTCCCTCAAAAATGTGTTCAACAACTTTTCTTACTTTCTACTGTCATACTTGTTTAGCAAAATCCAATTCCTCGTTATCTCCAATTTGCCACCGACTTTGTGCCATCACTGTTGTAGCTATATGTGGCTGGAAAAACCAATACTGACTGGTGTAATAAGGGTTCATGCCCAGCAATCATATTACATTACTCCAATTCATTTACTCTTTCATTCTCTTAGACGATTATTTCACACCTCTTTCATCCTCAAATCTACACTCCCCACCTCCTCGTCTCTTTTACCTAGATAACTTTGCATCCTATTTCACTGATAAAATAGAAGTGATAAGAGCATTTCTGCAAGTCCCCCCCACCCCTCCCATGGATTGACACATACAGTGCTTTCTCTTTTAGTACAGGAAACTGTCCAGGCTCCCAGCTCAGGCTGATCCCTCCTTGTCCACTAGATGCCTCCCTTCTTGCCTACTGGAGAACAATGTTCCAGAAATTCTCCTGTCTTTCCCCTACACTGTCAAAATATCCCTCTCTATTGGATCGTTTCCATCAGTATACAAACTGGCTGTTGCTTCTCCCACCTTAGAAACAAGCTTTTGGCTCTGTTTCCCTCTCCATCATCTACCCCACGTCTTGGCTCCCCTTTATGACAGAACTCCTTGAAAGTGTTGTGCTTGTTTGTGCTTGCTATTTCCAGTCTCCTCCACCCATTCTCTCTTGAACTGGGTCCATTCAGGTTTTCACTCCCACCACTCCACTGAAATAGCTCTTGTCAAGGTCACCTCCTCATCATTTTTGGAGGGTCCCAAGACTCACTACTTGGGCCTTTTCATACCCTCACTCCTTGTGTTATCATCTTTCTTATGGCTTTAAATATCAGCCACATGCCAATGACTTCCACATTTATCTCCAGTCTCACTCACCTGCTTATTAACATCTGTACTTGGGTTTCTAACAGGCTCTTCAAACTTAACGTATTCAAAACCAAACTCTTGACCTTCTAACCTTCTCCTGTCCACCCTGTTCAAACCTGGCCCTCCTGTAGTCTTCCCCCTTTACAGTAAATGGCAACTCTGTTCTGGCCAAAAACCTGAACTCCTCTGTCTCTTACACCCCATATCTAATCTGTCAACAAATCCTGTTCCATCTTCAAAACACATCCAAACTTTGACCACTTCTCACCACCTCCAGGGCTATCACCTTGGTCCAGTCCACCGCCATCTCTCACCTGATTGTTGCGGAAGCCTCCTAACTGGTCACCCTGCTTTTCCCTTTTCCCCCCTCCCCAGTCACTTCTTACTATGGCAGCTGGAGTGATCCTTTAGAAAGATACATCAGATTACGTCAGATTGTGACTATCCTCTGCTCACAACCCTCTTATTCTTGCCCAAAGTGAAAGCCAAAGTCTAAGTCTTTGCAATGATCCCCCCGCCCCCTTTCCCCTCCCTGTACACTGTAAACTCTCTGACCTGTGCTCTCATTCTCCACCTCAGTCACGCCACTCTGGCTTCTGTGACCTATTCTCTGGACGGACGTGCCAAGCACTCTCTGACCTCTGACATTTGTACTTATTCTCTGCCTGGAATGTTCTTTTCCCAGCCAACCACACGGCTCCTCTCACCACCCCCCCTTCAGATCTTTCCTTCCTGGGAGGCCTTCTCTGACCTGTTTAAAACTGCAGCCCCCCTTCTCTGCTGTCCTTCATAGCATTTATTACCGTTTCGTGCACTGCATGTTTGACTTCTTGTGTGTGTGTGTGTCTCCTCTCCTCTAGTCTGTAAGCATTTGTGGCCTTTCAATCTGAAATGCATGTCATTCGTTTGAGGAATATTTTCTTGAATTACCTTGTTAATGATTTGCTCTTCTGTTTGCTCTTTCTAGCCCTGTTTTTCAGATGATGGAGACTTAGGATCAGTTCTCCTCCTATTTGTATTTTTTCTGTCCTATTTTTTGCCTTCTTTCTGCAAGATTTCTGCAACTTTATCTTCCAATTCTTCAATTGAGTTTTTCATTTCCACTATCATTTTTTGATTTCATAAAGCCCATTTTTGTTCTCTGAATATTACTTTTTAAGAAATGACATTCTTGTTTTGTGGTTGCAACATCTCCTCTTAACTCTTGAGGATATTACTGATCTTTTAACAAAGTTTTCTTCTCCCTGCAGATTCTCCTGTGTCCTCCGAGGTGCCTCGCTCTTGCTTGTTTTGGTCTCTTTTATGTCAGAGGCTTTCCTCAGGTGTCTGCTGGTTCCTGAGGTCTGATCACAGCTAAGAGTAGGGCATTAACTAGCTGATTAGAAGTCTGGGTGCTTGTCAGTGCGGGGTTCCCTGCAGGCTGGGGGACCCTGGTGTCAGCATCTTTAGCTCTCTCTCCTTTGGTGTGGTCAGAGTCTCCAGAGAGTCATGTTATCATCTTCCTGCAGGGTACTGGCCTGGCTCGACTGGCTTGGAAGCAGTGGGAAAAGAGGGCTGAGGGAGGGGGCTGTCAGCATTTGGCCTATGAACACTAGTTCAAACCCCTGTTTTCCATAGGGCAGCCTCATCCTCTCCTATGCCTGATATTCCCTAGTCCACAGATCCTGCGTTTACCCTTCTGCCAGGGTGGGCTCAAGCAAAGTCTTAGAACTACCCAAAGAGAAGGAGGGGAACTGAGGAGTCAGCTCCTTCAGAAATAGACCTTCCACCCATCCTGTCAGTCTCCCTTCGCCCCCATTGCCAGAGGTACACAGTGCTGCTAGTTCTTGGGGTTCTTTGGTGTAACGCGGTTGCTTCTTGGCTTTTCCTACTTCCGGTTTAGATTCAGTTTCCTCAGGTCTGCTAAGTCACTGTTTGTCCATCTACTTTTCTCATGTTTCCCCTCCTGTTCTCTTTTTCTCTGTGGGTTTATGTCTTTTTAAACATTTCAATCCACTTGCTGATGTTTTAGTAGGATTTCAGGAGGGAACAAAAGTCAATGCATATATTCCATCTGTCATCTTTACTGGGAAGCCCCCCAGCTGGGATTTGCTGACCACTTCTACAACTAAACACTGTTGGGGTCAGTTAATTGCCATTACCCAGAGAGCTGGTTCTTAGTGTCACTCAGAATAGTGTGCTTCCCTCCATTTGTCATCTCAGAAATCTGAGGGCGATACTGCGTAATCAAGGGAGGGACTTGTAACACAGAACTGTTAAAGCATGGTGTCTGTTACACCTAATTACCCTGCAGCAGAAGGAAGGTCACTTAGGAACCATAATGTGAGTAATCAGTTTGTGGATTGGATGTGAGCCTCAGTTGTCTGCTTGCGTCACTGCTGTCTGTCTCCTCTTGAACTGTAAGTCTCTGGAGCCGAGGCAAGCACTCAAATGCTGTTGCAGATAAAAAATAATGCTTATAAGGTAAAGGGGATCTTTTATGTTTCATTGTCACTGCCAATCAAGGCTAGAATGCTATTGTCTTCATGTGCTTTTAAATGCCAAGCATTTTAGAAAGTTAGATACACTTGGGCTTGAACTGTGCAATATTCAATTATGCTGTTAGTGGTGTCTACCACTGCAGTCTCTATATTAGGGAACGTTTAATACCCAAGGCACAATTGTATCAAATGTGTTTTTGACAATTTTTGATGATTTAATTGAACAAACATTTACTGACCACCAACTGTCTGTTAGGTGCTTATGTGTAATTATAAATGTTATGTAACATTGCATATTGGTAGAAGTAAAAAGAATTTGGCCTAGTTTTTTTTTTTTTAACCACTGTCGTAGATATTCTTAAATATTTCACATATTTTTCCTTTTTCTTTTCTTAGTCTTGCTGATAATGTGAACTATTGGAGGTTCTGGGGGAAAGGTCACATGCATGTGTTACCCCCACTCCCTGCCCCCAAACAACAGGCATCGTATTTTCTCAAAAAAGGCTATTCTCAGGTTAGCCCACTTTTCATCTTATGGACAATGGTGACTAATTTGTATTGTTTTAATTTCTGTTTCTTCCAGTACCTTGGTCAGGTTGGGGCTTTGGTTTGGAATGTTTTTCAAGTGATCCTTTAGATTCTATGTAAACTAACGGGGTGAAAGCATTACATTAGTGTGTCAGACCCTAAACTGCACTGCATTAAGGCTGCATCTGAAAACTGTTTGTATTGCTGTTTTACAAATCAGTATGTGAATTCCTGGGTTTAAAAAACTGTTCATCTTGAAGCTGAGAGAGGATTAAAGTAAGTTTAGTCAACTTGATAAGAGTTTGCTTAAGTACATTCAACAAAGACAAGGATATATTTGAAATAAACAATAACCCAACCTTAACCTTAACATATAGCTTAAGGGCCCATGCTCTGGGGTCAGACAGGCCCAGGTTGTACCCAGCTCCTCCTCCAGATAATTGTGTGACCTTGGGCAAGTTACTCAACTCCCCTAAACCTGTATTTCCTCCTGAGTAAAATGGGGAGCTTAGTAATATCCACTTCAAAAGGCTGTAAGGATTAAACGAGATGATGTAGGTAAAAGCTTTTTGTATAGAGCCTGGCACACAGAAGTGCCTCTTAAATATTAGCTATGATTAAGACTCAATTTTAATATCAATACATATTATTAATATGTAGTATGCTTCGTTTTATTAATATTCCTTAGATACTGTTCCTATTTCCTTGACAATCTTGAAGAGTTCAGTTGAGGTTGGTGGGTAATTTATTCTTAAGCATTTTTATTTCTAGTTTTTTTCCATTTTTTCTTTCATTAATTCCTAATGCTTTATTTTGGTGTAATAACGGAGGGTGTAGACCGCTCCGTGGCTGTTGCTGCTTTTGCCCGACCCCATGAGTGAGGTTTTAGAGTCTGAAGAAAGGGTCTAGGGTTACTCTCTGATGATCACCATGGTTTGAGGGCCACCACTCACCGGACAAGGAGGAGCAGGTCCAGATAGGCTGTTCTCGCCATGTCAACTTGGGCCCCAGACAGGAAGCCATCGTGGAGAAAGTCGCCCGTGTTAGTCAGGATGCCATGAAGAGCATAGAGATCACACAGGCGTCTGAGCACCTGCCGCACTGCTGGTTCACTCTCTAGTTTCTCCAGAGCTTCTGTAAAACTCTTCACGGTGACGTAGTAGCAGTGTGCCTACAAAGACACGAAGACGCCTTAGCCTCTGACTTCTGGTTTCTGCCTCCAGAAGTCGTCCTGGAAGCTTGGCAAGGCGACTGGAGGAAGCTTGCTGTGGCCGCGTGTGCCCAGAGGGCTGACGAGCAGCCGCCTTTTCTCCTAGCTCTCTGCGGGTCCACTGAGCCTTTTTGATAGTGTGTGTGTGCATGCACATGTGTTGGGGGCTGACAGGCTCTGGAACTTGGCCCTTAGTTTCCTCATTTTGTTTGGGGTAGTTTCAAGTAGGTTTGGAAGTAGAGAGAAAGAGTACAGGAGTACTGGAGGCTGGCCTGGGACCCTGGGGGATAGCACCACTTTTCTTAAGAACCCAGCTCTTCATTGTCTGCCGTGTTCAAGGCAGTGGTGTGTTTATGTGTGTGTGTGTGTTTGTGTGCGCCTTGGCGTCAGAAAGTAGGGGTTCAAGATGTACATGAAATTTATCCCAGCTGGAGTGTAAACTCCTTGAGATAAGCTGGGCTGTTTAGCTTTTATGCAATAGTTCGGCTCCATCAGTGGTTAAAATAACCAGTTGGTAAGTGACCACTGTCCTCAACCCAGTGAGAGAGCGCTCTCTGCCAGCCAGGTTCCTTCCTTGGGACCCCCTCTTCCCTGCAGCCCAGCAACTAATACATTAATGGCCGACCCAGCAGGAGGCCTTCAGGACCCTGCTTCCCTTAGGCCTGAAGTCCTTTTTTTCCCCTAAGGAAGATTTTACTGAGCTAACATCTGCTGCCAGTGTTCTTCTTCTTGAATGTGAGCCACCACAACACCTGCCACTGACAGATGAGTGGTGTAGGTCCATGCCCGGAAACTGAGCCCAGGCCACTGAAGAGGAGAGCACCGAACTTAATCACTAGGCCACCAGGGCTGGCCCCTGAAGTCCTTTCTGATTGGTTGATGGCTCTGTCCTGGTGGTTGTTAAGTATTTTGAATACTCCCCCTCTCCCCAAGACAAATGCACGTAATTATTTTTATCAGGTAGGATATATGAGTTCCATGGGGGCCAGGGAGGAGGAAAGAGAGCATATAAAACAGGTCTCAAATTTTTACCTGCATACAGATTACCTGGGGATCCTGACAAATGCAGACTCCAGGATAGCGAATCTCTGCGTTCTAACAAGCTCCCGGTGATGCCCATGCTGCTGGGAGTGACTTTAAGTAGCAAGACTTAGAGTGTTTTGAGTGTTCAAAAGGGGTTTCCCAGGGGGACAAGGAATGGGGGAAAGGTCACTGCAGGCAGAGGGAACTTTGTGTGCACAGGGCTGTATTTTCACGAGGCTGCAGGTAATTTACTGAGGCTGCAGCACTGGGGTATGATGAGGTGGTGACGGCAGCCAGGTAATGAAGGGCTGTGAATGACAGGTTGGGATTTTATTCTGTGCGGTGCCACCAGAGTCTTCAACGGGTCAGTGAACTGACCTGGTTTCTCGCTTGCAAAGAATCTGCCTTTCCCAGGGAGGCCTCACTCACCCCTCTGCCCCCTGGACCTGGTGTGCTCACAGCCGTGCTGCGTGGCTGTGGAAGAGGAGGAGCCGTGCTCCGTTATCCTTGCCGGGTCCAGTGGCCCTTGGTGCTCAAACTGGACCCGGTTTGGCAAAACTGGACACTTGCTTTTTTCAGCTAGGCCCTGCTTCCCTGTTCTAACTGAGGGCCATATCCTTAAATTCTCAGGGCCCTTGGTTGAGGAGAGGCGTGGTGAAGAGCTGCTGGAGGCCCAAGTCTCTGCTTTGGAAGCAGGATGAGGACCGGAGAGACAAGGTGGCCTCCAGGCTCTGGGGAAAGCCTGAGCCAAACCTTGGCACCATGCTTTCAACACAGTGAACTTTATTTACTTTGCTGTGTGTGGGTTTAAATCTTGTCTCCTGCCTCATTTGGGGGTGGGGGTGGGATGTGTAGCATTTATATGCTAGGTGCCTCTCTAAGTTTTACATGTATTAACTCATTTAATCTTCATGATAATCCTACAAGGTAGGTACTATTATCAGCTCCATTTTGCAGATGAGGAGACTGAGGCATGGAGAGATTAAGTTCCTTGACGGGGGTCACATGGCTGGTAGAGGGTAGCAATGAGACCCAAGCAGGGCAGTCCGGCTCCCGGCCAGTTAAGAGTCTGTACTCTTATCTGCTCCCCTGCGTTGCCAAAGTCACCAGAGACTGAAGCTGCCTTATGATGAGTACCAGCGTTTGCCCCAGTGGTCCTGGGGACTGACATCTCTCCTGCGCAGGGTCTGAGATTATGGGACCAGCGCCCAAAGGGCTCTTCCGTGACCTTTTGTTTTACAGACAGGAAGTTAAAGCCCAGAGCGGGAAGCACTGCCTGAGGTCACACGACAGGTCATGCACAGAGCTGGGACCAGAACTTAGGCCAGGGTTCGCTGTTTTTTGTCCGTCCCTCTGCCACTGTTCCTGCCCCCTTGAGTGGCTGTCACTCTCTGCTGCACATTTGTGGTTTCCAAATGGGAGCTGGTTGGGTGCTTGAGGTTTCTGTAGAGTAGATGGCCTCCCAAAGCGCAAAGCTCAGAAAGTGCAGACTTCCCTGCCCTGTGACTTGGGAGACTCAGCTTGGGCACCCCGTCCCCAGGAAACTGCACGCACTTGCTCTTCTCCCGCAGGCTGGCTGGGCTTCCCGCTGTGGCCTCCCCCAGAGTGTGGGGCTCACCTCCTTCCTTCACTCAGGCACAGTGGCTTCCCCAGGGCACGGCTTGCATCCATGGGGGAAAGGAAAGCAAAGCATCTTAACTCAATTATTTCCTACCTCTGGGACTAAACCCCGCTGAGTTCTACTTCCTCAGCCTTAAAACAGAGATTACTCTGCTCTCCCTCCCAGGGCTGTGCGTGTTAAATGGCGTGTGGCCCTGGCAAGCAGTGTCTGGTCCATTGGAAGGCAGGGCATAGGTTTGGAAGATGGATGGAGAATGGGCGGCTGTGGTTCCTTTTTCGGTAGTCTGGTGAGAACACAGCCTTAGCGCACCCTCTGTGTTGAAAGGACATGTAGCACAGCAGGAGTGCCCCTGCAGTGGACTGAGCAGAACCGAGGGTGGCAGAGTTAATACCAGCCCCTACTGGTGTGATGGAAGTGGTGGGTCACCAGGTGGCGCTCATGCCCAGCCTGCCCCACAAGGGACACTGCAAAACACACCTTCAGGGCTCTCCTTGCGAAGACTGCCATTTTCAGGGTCTGATGCCTGAGGATTGAAGTGATCACCGTGGTTTTCCAGCTGTAGGTAGGGTCAGAGTCCCAGGTGCCTAAGCTAGAACTCAGGAGTCATCCTTATCCCTTTCCCAGCCATTACTCTCTGAAGCTTGTCCCTTTCTTCTACCCCCTTAATATCTCTGCATCTACCCACTTCTGTCCATGCCTTCTGCCAAGTTCAGGATCAGGACCACCCTCAGCCCTGGCCCAGACTGCTGCTGCCTGCTCCTAACTGGCCTCTAGCCTGCAGTCCATTCCTCCTCCTGCAGCCTCCATGATCCTTCCAGAATGAAACTGATCACTTCACTCCCTGATACATGCTCTGGGGTCCCATGGCAACCCTATTTCCTCATCACAGGGCTTCCTTGTTCATAGCTGTGTATGGGCACTGTGGAGCCCCCGGTACACAGCCCGATGCCTGGTGTTGAGTGGGTACTCAAATATTTGCTGACTGACTGTGAATTATGTACAAACACAAAACAGTGAAAATTGAATCCGACATCTAAGGATTGCCTGTGGGGCTAAGGGGAGACTTGACCTGCTTTTCTTTCTGGGAGGAAATATTTGAACAACCTGAAGCAAATCCAATAACACTGCCTCATTACGTTTTTCCCTAAGAGCCGCCAGCAAGATGGCTTTGGAGTTAAGTCCTTTAATTAAAATACCCTGGACTAAAGCCTTGGGAGTGAAATGAGGGCAGCCGCTGAGCAGGGCTGGGGAATAATGGCAGAGCTTGGATTTTCCCAGCAGGGTGGCCTGCTGAGGCACAAAACGGCCTCCTTCAGCTTAGCTGATGGGCAGCTCACCTTAGCAGCCTGAAGGTGTATGACAGTGGTTCTGTTCCAGGCCTCGTGCTCGTCCGCCCCGGATCGCATCAGAGTCTGTATGTGATGCACTGAGTCCTTTGTGAGCCTGAAGGCCAAAGAAAAAAGGTTCAGTTTCTTGGCCGAGAGGGAAGATTGATGGAGTTTGGTCCCAGGCTGCCTGGGGTCTCTCAGAAGTAGAAGTAATTCCCATTTATTGACCACTTATGTGTTACAAAGAAGTGCTTGATATACATTATCTCTTTCACCCTTTTAGGGGCGGGCATTCCCAATTTAAAATGAGGAAACCTGAGTCCCAGGGAGCTTAACTAATTGGTTAATGAGGGGACCTTAAAAAAGAAAAGAAAACCAATTCTTGTCCTCTAAACCACTCAGTTGGTCGTTTGCCATTTAGCTAATGTTTGTTCTTTTAGTTTCTATTCCCTGCCCTTCCACTCATGACCCTTGGAATTTGTGTGCAAAACAAACTGGTTTATTAAACAGTTTTTATTTTGCTTTGTCAGGGAATGGATAAGCAGATGTCACACTGAGTTCCAAGAAAAAAGCAATATAATGGCACTTTAGTTACCCTGAGCAGCCTTATTTTGCCCTTCCACCTCCCTCCAACTAAAATGTTAGCTCTTCAGGCTGGCCTGGTGGCATAGTGGTAAAGTTCGTGTGCTCTGCTTCGGTGGCCTGGGGTTCGTGGGTTCGGATCCTGGGTGCGGACCTACACACTGCTCATCAAGCCTTGCTGTGGCAGGTGTCCCACATATAAAATAGAGGAAGATGGGTGCAGATGTTAGCTCAGGGCCAATCTTCCTCAAAAAAAAAAAGTTAGCTCTCTGAGGCCCAGGTGTTTTATCAGACTGGTTTGTTGATAGATCCCTAGTGCCTAGAATGGAGCCTGGCATATTGTAGGCTCTTAAGAAGTATTTGTGGAATAAATAAATGAACATCCCCAGTTGCTTGTGATCTTGAAATAACTACTAACCATCCCTGGGACCACAGGTTGGGATATAAGACTTCTTATGTACTGAATATTTTTTCCAGGTCGTTTTTGGTGATTTAGTTGGGGAGGGGTTCAGAAGGTCTCCTTTTTAGGTAATTAAAGCTCTCTGTCTTTTTTGCGATGATGTCCGGCTTGGCCAGGACTCTTTGTTCCCAGCCCCTGGCATGTTTGCACATGCTTGACACAGTTGGTGCCTGACAATATTTGTTGAATGACAGACTGGATGAGTCCCTGGTCTTGTCCTTGTTCCTTGGAGCCTACTACACCGTGGAAATAAACTAATTCTATCCCTTGATATGGTCATATTTTTGGAAATTATTTTTAGATTGTGGAATATTTCAAACCTATGAGTACGACTTTATTTATTGGTATTTACATCCTGATACATTCATAGTATTTACAGATGAGTACATTCTTTGTATTACAAATCACAATAAGAACCTAAAGATTTTAAAAATCCCTTGCACTGGTCAGAGAGGTGATGTCCTTCTACTGGCTTGACCAGAATGGGGAAGCGATGGTGGCCCATGGCTGATGGGTGTGACTTCCCCTCCTCTCTGCCTATGCTGGCAGGAGCTGAGAGGACTGAGGAGGCTGGGGAAGGGAGTAGTTTTGGGAAGAGTATCCATGAACGCCCACCCAGCCAATCCCAAAGGCCTTCATGGGGGAAGGAGCCTGTCCCCAGGTGGGATGGCTGATTTCTCAGCTCTGGCTCACCTGGCTGCCACGTGTGCCCAGGCCGTGGTATAGAGCTCTGGGTGGAAGAAGTCGGCTGCCCTCTGGGCCGGACACCTGGCCAGGTCAGGTGCGGTCAGGTATGCAACAGACTGAGGGAGAGACCTCTGCAGAGTGGGGCCCAGGGACACCTGAGTTCGCTGGTAGCTCTTCACCAAAAACCTGCGGAGTGGGGGTGCGGGCAGGGGAGGGGGTGCGGGCAGGGGAGGGGGTGAGGAGTTGCAGGACAGCCCAGCACTCCTCTCCCCCAGAGATATGCACTCGTATACTCCCTGTGGGAGAACCAGGGTCACCCCGTTTCTGGCCCCGGTCCTCCACCCCCAGCCAGCCTGCTGTGGGACCCTCAGAAAAGTGCATCCCGAGGCTGAAGTGGTGGAGGCTGGGCGGGCACTCTCAGATCCTGAACGTAAACCCTTTGATATATGAGCAAACAGAATCTTTTCTGTGGCCTAGGATCATGTGATTTAGGGATATATGATGGATCGTACAGTGACTGCGGAAATCAAAACTTCCTTAGCTGCAAAAAGGAGAATAGATGCAAGAACGCTAAGATGAGTGGGAAGATTATAGGTGACTCTCAGCTGCTTCCTTGTGATGACCCAGCGCTTACAGGCTCTGGGCTCAGAGGACCGTGGATTTCCATGCAGCTCTGCTGAGACCTGTGTGATGCTGTGGAAGTTACTTCACCTCCCTCAGCCTCAGTTTCTCCATCTCTAGATGGGGATGATAATGCTCACCTGATAGGAGGTTTGTGCCAACTGAATGTCAAGGGCTTGGCACAGTGTGTCTAATACATGCTACTGTATTCATTTTGTAATTTGAAAAATCCCCAATAAAAGTTATATATTAAAAAAAAATTCTAAGAAATGTTATATAGCATATTTGCCAGTAAACTGCATGGAGAAGCCACCTGAGAACAGGTAAATGTGAAAGGCCTCATCAGCCACGCTCCCCCACAGACATAGGAGAGAGAGGAGGCCGCCTCAGCCACTCCTTCCTGCCCCTCGTGGCAGCCTCCCCTGTGCAGGCCCTGTGCTAAGTCTAGGGACACAGCAGCGAGCACTGCGGGTGGGCTGCCTGCCCTCAAGGAGCTCCCGGTCACACACAAAAAGACACGTGCAGATTGTGATAACCACTCCGAAGGGAAAGGACAATGCTGAGACGGAGGACCAGGGTGGTGTTAGTCTAGACTGAGTGGTCAGGGAGGGCATCTGAAGGAGGCGTCATTTTAGCAGAGACCTGAGGGATGAGAAGGAGCTGGCCGTACAACAATAAATTGGGGGCAGAGAGTTTTAGGGGGAGGGAAGTGAGTACGAAGGCCCCATGGTGGGAAAGAAGAAATGTGTGGCTGGCAGAAGTGAAGAGGCAGGAGCGTGTGGGAACAGGATAGAGAGGGCGAGGACCTGGAGGCCACAGTGTGGAGGGCGGCATTTTCCTATGAGCAGAGGGAAACCATTGAAGAATTTTAAGCAAGGGAAAGATGTGATTGTCTCCAGGCTTTGAAAAGATCACTCTGGCTGCCCGTGGAGGACTGGAGTGGGGCAGGGAGGAAGCGGGAGACCAGGGAGGAGACTGACGCTGTTGTCTGCAGGAGGGGACAGTGGCCTGGCCGGGAGCTGCAGTGAATCTGGGGAGAAGTGGATGGATTGGAGACATACTGTGGGAGCTGGACAGTCCCTGAACAGCGCTCCCCAAAGTCTGCTCTCTCCTTAGGCATGGGACGGATGCTTCAGCCCAAGTAGAAGCCCCCAGGGTTTCCCAGGGGCTGGGCAGAGGCCTGGGCCAGTCGTGGGCTTACCTGGCCATCTGTAGGTAAAGCACGGTGTTCTCACCCTCAAAGGTGCAGGAGGCTGTCACTTTGGTGACCAGCGATGGCAGGCCGCTCAGCTTTGAGTAGCCATGTCCACCGCAGGCCCTGCGGCACAGCTCGGCCCCATAAGTGCAGAAGTCCGACACCATGGCCTTTAAACCTGCACTCAGTGCGTGAAGCTGCAAGAATAGGAAGGGGGTGAGGTGGTGTAAGGGGGTCCTCCAGTAACAACCATACACTCATTGAGCACCTCCTGTATGCTGAGCACAACTCTGTGAAGTCAGAATTATCTCCTCAGCTCACAACTCTATGAATGAGAAGGCTGAGACTCAGAGAGGTTCTGTGACTCACACAATGAGGCCATGTAGCTGTAGGAGCAATAAGGACACAAGAAAACTGTCCAGGCCAGTGTCTCCAGGATCTTGGAAAAAGGATGTTTCTTGGATGGGGCTCACCGTCATCCAGGAATTATGGATTTTGCTGGCAAGCAGAGGTTTTGGAGAGCTGGCCTGTGAGGATGGATGTCCATCATCAAGCCCCTGTCTTGAGTTGTCGGTGGAGCTGCCAGGCAGCAGGCCTGGTTTGAGTTTTTGGTTCTTGAAAGCTCCTCACCATCTTCAGACTTTTAAGTCCTCAGGAGGAAGGTCCTGTCCCTTAACCTCTCTGTACTTTGCTTTCCTCATCTGTAAAATGAGGCTATCAATGGTGCCTGCTGTACAGTCCAAGGACTAAAGAAGCAACACTTATAAAGCACAGGGCCCAGACACACTGACTCTTAGTGTACGTGTGAGCCCATGGTCCTTGATCTGAGACCCTTTGGGCCAGATGTGTTTTGGAATCAGATTATTTTTTGAATTTCAGAAAAGTGAAGCAGGACATTTAAGGTAGATTATATATAATATGCCTAGAGGAGTCTGGGGCAGCCTTGGAGATCAAACACATTAATGTTTCTGCTGCAAAATGTACTCACACTCAGCGGGATAAATCAGGTCAGTTCAGGTCAAACTGCGCCACCGAATGAGATCTACACGCCTTTTGGTTTCCGGAGCTTTTTGGGTTTTAAATGCACATCAGGCATGGGTGCACCAGTGTTCCATATGCTATGTGTAATTATCTCCTCTAACATTTTTGGAGCTTTTTGGGGGCCAGACAGGTGGATTTATGTGTCGGGGTACAGTTCATCCTGGCTGCCCTGGGATGTTGGAAGGCTGGGGAGGGGGAAAACGAAGGAGCCCATGGAAGCAGGACTCGGGCCGTTTCCCCATGGGCCAAACAATTTCAGCCACCCCATCCCAGCTCCCGCGCCCCCCGCAGACAGCAGAGACCTCAGGCAGGAGGCTGAAGTCCCTGTCCAGAATGGCATCGTGGGAGTCATGCAAGAATTCCAAGAGGCTTCTCGCCAGGAAATGGAAGGCATAGGCTGTTGCCAGCTGAGGAAGGAGCTTCTGCTGCTGCGTCTGGTAGTCCAGGATTTTCGCCTCTGGCTCACTGTGGGGAAGAGAAGCGAAAGGTTTAGAAGATTGCTACATCCCACATTCACCTTCGCATATCCCCAGTGCCATAAAAGCCTTAAGAACTGACAGTTCTTATATCTCATTACAAAACTTGATCTGAACTGACACGGGGCTTGTGATAATCTTGTGAAATCCCATCTCACATGAATATCCACTTATTGCACTGCAGAAATACTGATGTGTTGGCTGATGGGTGCTGCCCCTTGTGGGAGACGTTTATAAAATTACAGCATATGCACCTATTATCCTGCTGAAATCTGGAAAGCTCTGAATTCCAACACTTCTAGTTCCAGGGATTTTGGGTGAGGGCTTGTGGCCCTGTACCCCTGATGATTTGAACCTTGACCTTTCGCTGCCCTGGTGCTCTTGCTGTGTGCTGGGAAACACGTTGAGCCTAAGAACTCTGAGGGTGTGAGGGGTCCATGGTCACTATCTGTGCGTTGAAAGAAGGTGTGAATGTGAGAAGCCTCCACGGCCGCCGATGGGGAGGAATCTGGGTCTCCTCGTTGGGCCAGCAGCCCCTCTCCTGGACATGGGCTATTATAACCATCTTTGGGACACTTCTGCCATCCGGAAAACTGGGCTCTGGACAGGACATCATCGGCAGCACCGTCTTTTCAGTGCCTCTGTCCCCTGGAGAAGATTCAGCCTGCGATTCTGAAGCCCAGGCTGGCTGAGGGTGCCGTGGTTTGCCAGAGAAAATGGCCCTGGGCTAAGGGCCTGGCACGCTTTGTTGCATTTCATCCTCAACACTGCCCTGAAAGACCATTCCTCTCATGTCCATTTTGTCAATGAGGAAGCTCAGGAACAACGAGGCTGGTGGCCAGCCTAAGCTCCAACAGACAGCAAGTGGCCTAGCTGAGTGTGGCACCCAGGTCTGCCTGGCATCTGACCCTCTGTCCGTTTGCATTACAGTTCTGGATCCTTGAGTCCACAGCATGAAACACCACCAGGCTCTTGGACTGGGGGTTCTCAGGTTCCAGTCCTGGTGATCTCACTCTTCACTTTCTAAAGTAAGAAAACTGAGGCCCAGAGAGCCCAAAGGATGTGCCCAGGGTCACTTAGCAGAACTGAGACAGGAACTACCAGGTTGAAGCCCACCGCTCAGCCCCATGAGTTCAGTCAGTTATGCTGTGTCCAGCTCTACCCTCTCTTCCTGTGCCCGCTCTGTGGCACCACGTGCCCAGGCTCCATTTTGCTGTAACCTGGAGGAGTCCATTTGGGACATATTTATTCTAAAAAATTATTTGTCATTTACTTGAAATTCAAATTTAACTGGCAGTTCTGTATTTTTATTTGCTGAATTGGGCAACTGTCCATATGTGCGCATGCATGCATGTGTGTGTGTTTGTGTACACTTAGTTAAAACAGAGAGTACAATTAGCCCTTGCTCTTCGGTGCCATGGAGTGGAAGGAGTGTTAGCTGGACACAGCCACGTACAGCAAAATGGATCTAGACTTGGACATACCACAGTCAGATGTTGACAGATACAGCTAGACAAAACCAACTTCAGCCATATGTGGTCTGGTGTGACAGTTGGACTTTGCCAGACACACTCACTCACACCTTGACAGAAGAAACTCAAGAGCCACGGTCACCTGCTGCTTGGCAGCTGGCTGGCCCAGACCTACTCAGCCAGGCACAGCCACAAGACCCCAGTTGGACTTGGACAGACTGAGGTCTGGTGGTACAGGGCCAAAGACTCACAATCACAGAGCCCGACGGGGCTGGACATTGACAGACCCAGGTCAGGCCAGCTGGTCAGCCGAGGTTAGAGGGAGCCAGGTAGAGACCTCACAGATGTGGCCAGATGGGCCAGGTCTGAGCAGACTACGTGTGTGTGGCGGGGGTGTGTAATGCATGCTCCCGGCACCCTGCTCAGGCAGAGGGGGTGGTGTCAGGCGGCAGGCTCTGTGGGACTGAGAGGTAGCCCTGTCTGTAGTGGTTGGCCTCTGGGTGCGCCTTGCCTGGGCCGGAGCCGGGACTGGTGGCGTATGATGGAGTAGCGAATGGCGATGACACAAGCCTTTTGCAGCTCAGCTGTGATGCCCGGTAACAGCTCCACCCGCGTCACCACCATGGAAAGGTAGTTGCTCTGTGCTGTTCCGAGCTTGATGTAGGTGCCATCTGGCAAGACCTGGTGGACCAAGGATGGGCACTGGGTCTGAGCCAAGGCTCTCTAGGCTGCCCCACCCCAGAACTGTGGGCCTCCACGCCCTGCGGGCACCACAGTTCTCAAATTGCTCACCCAGAGCAGACACAGCCGGCCAACAGCCAGAATGCCGTTGTATGGCCACACTGATTGTTAAAACAGAAACATATCCATGCTTGTTGCTCAACAGCCACTGCCCCAAGTGCCCTGGTTCATAGCTCCTCTCCTGGGACACCCTGGGTCTCCCTACGATCCACAGCTAAAGGTTATGCTTGGCAAAATGGGGACCTCCAGAACTTTCTCCAGCACTCAGCTGGTGTCTGTTCAGTGATGGTTATGTCTAGGCCTCACTGCAGATAAATAGGACTGTCCTCTCCGCCTCATCCTTCTTCTTCTCACATCACCTTGCCACCCTACCCTATGATTGCTCTGCCACCCCATGAGGTGAGCCTTTACCTGTGAGAACTCTGAGGCTCAGAAAGGCCAAGTGACTTGCCCAAGATCACACAGCTCCTAAGCTGGGGTTTTACCCAGGTCTATGGGAGCCTCTGTGGGGTGGGAGGTGCCCCAAACTCAGCTCTGTGGAAGAGGACCGAGAGCCAGCAGCAGTCTGCGGGGGGCCGTTGTCCCCTCTCCAGGCATGGCAGGCCTGTAGCCTCCCCAGGCTCCCTACCTGTGCAAAGCGGCTCAGCATGTTCTCCCTGGGGACCCGCACGTGGTCCAGTTGCAGGAAGCCATTGTCTACATGGTCAAGGCCCATCTTGGGCCCAATGTCTCCAACAGTGATTCCTAGAAGATGGAGATGGGAACATCCTTCAGTCGAGCGCTTGCTGTGTGCCAGGTACCACACACCCACATTCTAGCTCACCTGAGCCTCACAGAAGCCTGTGACACTGAGGTCATTACACCTGTTTGGCAGATGACCAAGCTGAGGTCAGACAGGTGCTGAATCTTGCTCAAAGTCACCCAGTCAGTTAGCACCAGGTCTGTCCAACTGGACCCAAGGGCGACATGTCCCAGCTTCTCCCAGGGACCTCTAGGGCCCCGGGACAGGGAGGCCTGGCAAGGTTTCCTCCTGGCAGGGGCTGGAGGGAGCAGCAAGGGCTTACCTGGCAGTGGGGTGTGGTCCTGGAGGCTCCGGATGGGTACTATAAAGGCGTGCATGCCCTGCCGGGCTCCCGAGCAGATCAGCTGGGCCTGGACCAGGGCATGGGTGGCTGACCGTCCCACTGAGGGCAGAGAGATGAGAGGCCCAGAGTGATCCCTGGGCATGAGGCCCTGGTGTACAGAGCAGACGGCTGACCCTCTCCATCGGAACCTGGATGTGGGCCCAGTCTGTAATGGGTTAGGAGGACCAGTGTGGTGGTGTGGGGGAAGGGCAAGGCTCTCTGTGAGGCTGGGATGAGGGTTAGTTTGATCTGCCCCAGAGGATGTGGGTCGGGGGGGATCACAAGGAGCCTGGAGGGTGAGGGGCGTTTTCCAGGGGAGCCACCCAGGGAAGAGTGTGCAAGGTGGAGGGAACAGGATGCTCAGAAGCTTGAGGACTGGATGGGCTTGGTGGGGCCAGGCAGTGGAGAAGGTAGCATTCAGCGCAGCAAAGGGCTGCTTGTTCAGGATGCCCCTTGACTCACATGGCCTTGACTCATCCTTAGAAATAACTGGAACCATTCAAAGAGCTGGCTCTTTGAGTGGCTGGCTCTGGAAGGCACTGGGTTGGAGGGATTTATGCAGAGCCATTTGGTGGCTGGAGGTGCAGGGGGCTCAGTCTAAATGTCAGGGATGTGTAGCAACTGCCCTACGATTACACAGGCAGGAGCCCCATGGTGTAGGGAGGCTCAAGGAGGCTCATGGAGATCTTGAGGGGACCAAAGCGCCCTGAGCCCTCTGGGTGCTTTCTCTTCCAAAGGCAAAGCTTGACAAAGGCTATGGATTTTAACGAAAACGGCCTGAATGGAACAATCCGGGAAAGCTTGGCATCTTTTAAAATTTGGTTCTGCTACAAGTGTGTTGCTCTTGAGTGATTTTCTTTGGAATCAAGGAGACAGGGTCTTTAGGTCAGAGCTGCTGGGGTTTGTGTGTCAGGATCCATGCAAGAACACTGGTCCCAAGTGATGGGGATGTGTGCATCACTCCCCGACCCCAGCTCATGGCACCTTTGGGGCCTCAAAAAGTTACTGATCCCAGAGAGGAGGGAACCACCCCCAAAGAGCCAAACAAATCTAGCAGTGACTTGCTCAAGGCACTGCGAAGGGGGCAAGCTTTTTTTTTCTGTCCTCAAAAACCTATTAATGAATCACTCTGCCATCAACCTAATAATAATAAATACAGATAATTATCATTTATTGAAACCCAGGTGGTAGCAAACCCTCTGCTAGCGCTTTCCAGTTCTCACAGGGCATGTGGGATGAGCCCCATTTTCCAGATAAGGAAACTGAGGCTCCGAGAGCAGGTTGCCGTGTTCAAGGTTACTGGCCTGGAAGGGGCAGAACTGGGATTTGAATGCTGTCTGATTCCAAAGGCTGGCTTCTTTTCACTGCTGTTTTGACAGCTGTCATTCATTTTCTCTCTCTCTCTCTCATTGCTCTCTCACGTCACTCTCTTATTTCTCTCTCCTCTGTCTCTCTCATTGCTCTCTCCCTCTCTCGATCTTTCTCCCTGTCTCTGCTTGTCTGTCATCTCTCTTTCTGCTTAAGTTGGACTCCTCACATTTGTTGTATTTTTTTCTTTCCATATAAGTGTTTCACCAAATGGGTCCCCAAGTGCCACAGATGCGTGCTCAGAGGTGTATTCTCACACTGGGGGAAGAGGGCCTTGGGGGCACCCCCTCCTTAGGCTTTGGCAAATCACTGACCCTGGGGGAAGCGCGGTGCAGTCGCCACCTGGTGGCCTCAGCAGGAGGTGCGGGGCCAGTGGCCTGATTGGTGCTGGCGGCAGGCCAGAGCCTTTCCGGGGGTCTGGGGGTCTGAGGGTCCAGGGCTCCGGAGCACGGGCCCTGAGCGGTGTTTCTCTCTCACTGTGTAATTGCATGGCCCTGGACTCTGGCTGGTGGCAAGCTTTGGGAGATGAGAGGAACTGGGGTTATGGGGAGTTCCTGGGACTAGCCCAAGTGTGTGTGTGTGTGCGTGTGTCTGTGTGGGGGCCGAGTGTGTGAGAGAGCTCTTGGCCCTCATGCCCCAAAGGCTGGGTCGGTTTCCTCAGCTACTTCAAGGTTCCCTTGGGGTCCTCTGAGCCACTCACTGATGAAATTCTTCCTATCCCACCTATTTTACAGAGTAAAACAGTGAGGCTCAGGGAGGTGAATTGACTTGCTCGAGGTCCCCAGCCTAGAACAGGGAATCAATCTGAGTTCTGTTGGACATCAAAATCTGTGCTGTTCTGCCATCCAGCTTTGTTCTCCCTGGGGACAGATGGGGCTGGGGGATGGATGGATACTCACGGTCCCCAGGCCACCATTTGATGGCAGTCATTGTGGGGCTGTGCACCACAAACTCCTGGGTGGCTGCATCGTAGGTGGCTTCAGTCTCCAAGCCCTGGAGATATGTCCCTTGGAATCAAGGAGGGGAGTTAGATGTCAGGCCAAAGGGGAATCTCCCCTGGGGAGCAGTGTCTACGCAGGCCTGGAACTCTCAGGCACCAGCCCTGTGTGGATGGGGGTAGCTCCAGCTGTGGGCTGTGTGGGGCACACATAGCCAGCTCATGACAAGGGATGGTCGCTGACATTTCCAGAAGGGGTGACTTGCCCCACTGCTACCCATACAATGTTCATGTAGATTAGAAAAAGGCACCCCTTCCTCAACACCCCTGACCGCCACCTGCTGTAACGTTTTCATCTTAAACACACCAATCTATGACTCCCGAGAAGTGGACGGGCCCTCTGGGACTGTGCAGTGTGCTACCTGTACCCTGCATGCCACAGCCCTGGCTCACCATGTCCCAGTTCTGTCTGGGCGTACGTCCCGATGATCTGGAACTTGTTGCACACTGGGACCCATTTAGCAATCTGCTCCTCTGAGCCCAGGCTCCTGAGGGCTTTTAGGAAGATATGCTGCAAACTGAAGCCCAGACTTCCAGAAAGGGTTCTGGAGGGGAGAGACGCTGTGGTTGAGCAGCCTGTGGGAGACAGGGGCCCAGGTACCCTTAGCTAGAGCAGGGCGCCGGAGGGAAGGGGCACCTGGCATCCTGGTTCCCAGCAAGTACTGCCTTTGTTGGGGGCAGCAGCTCATGGGATAAGGGGCTTCCGGGGGATCCCAGGTGAATTCCTCTCTGGTGGAGCTGCCCTGGGGGTGAGCACCTGTAAGCGTAATATGCTTCACGACTGTCTTCTGCCCAGCCCTGGCGCTGTGCTAGCATCTGCAAGTGGAATTTCTTCTCAACGGCGGCCTCATAACATTCACTCTGGGTCAGGAAATAATTATCCTTCAGGCTAAACTCTGGGTCACTGTGGATGATGCTCTCTGCCAGGGACAGAGAAGAGAGGGCTTAGAGACCTGAGTGAGGTTCCTGGCACCTTCAAATCTTCCCACCCAGGTGCCTCATGGACAGGGAAAGGAAGTCAGACATTACTGTTATTTTATAGATGAGACGCCTGAGGCCCAGAGGTGGGAAAACGACTCGTCCAAGGTTACAAAGCTATGCAGTGGCAGAATAAGGACCAGCATCCAGGTCTTCTGCTGCCTAGGACTTTTCTATCGCTCAAATGGGCTCAGGGAATATTGACATGTTAAAGATACCTTTTAGTCCAAAGGAATGAATCTCTAACAGTTGAGTTTTGAGAGAAAAGTTTGTTATCTGAAGGTAGGACTGCTAGTGAAAGACTCTTCTTCCAGGAAAAGCACATGGGGACAAAGCAGATCCTTCGTTTCCCAGCCTCCTCTTACCGACTTTCCTCCGGAGTGCAGTGTCCTGGGCCCCTCCATCAAGGATGTTGGTGAGCCGCTCCACGTCGAAGGTTTGCTTGTACCTTTCACTCTCTATGTCGGGGTGCACTTGCCTGCTCCAGGTGTCCCCCATTGACACTCGGTGCACTGGGCTGCCCATCCTCGCCTGGATCTGCGTGGGGTTTGAGGAGAGACACTGCTGGCCTGGCTGCTCTGAGCCCTGGGTGGTGCTAAGAACCTGTGGGTAGGAGGAACTGCCCAGGGCTGAGTGTCAGCCAGGGCTGCCTAGTGGAGGAAGGAACGCCCCTGAAATATTTGAGTGGCACTCCATCCCCACACTCCTCCCTGTGGGCACTTGGCTGAGTACTAGGCATTGTCTAGGTGTTGTTTGCAGTAACCATTCAGTGAATGGTAGTTCAACACCTGTTAGCCAAGGTTTGGACAGGGTCTGATCACCAAGCTCACGCTCTGTTCACTGCAGTTTGCATTACAAGCTTTGCCTGGGGAAATTCTCATGACAAATGGATGAAGGTCACACATGAAGAAAATTAATCTTAGGTTAAGTGTGTGGGCTCTAGCTACACAGCTGGAGTCTGTGCCACAAAGCACATGCTGTGTCCACACTACAGCCCTGCCATGGGGGCTCACTGGGGGGACCTCTGGTCCCATTCACCTGGTTCCCTAAGGCCTAGGCTCATTTGACCCATTTCTGTCAGCCTTGAGGGGTACTGTGGAGCCGAGGGGAGGAAGGTTGCTCCCTGTCTGTGAGATGTTCCCCTTGAAACCCCTGTGTGGCCCCAGTAGCCAGGGTGGACCCAGCATCCTTCATGGTAAATCCTTGGCCTCTTAGAAGCCCCTGTTCCCCCAAGCAAGGCAGCCACCAGGTATGCTCCATTCTACTTCTCGAGTCCCTCGAATCCATCTAGTCTATTCCTTCCATCCCCCTGGCTACCGCCAGCCCACCATCATTTCTCTCCTGGCCTCGGGGTCTCTCTTGTGTGTTCTCCCAGCTGCCAGGGAGACCCCGTAACTGCAATTGCATTGTTTTCCTCCCCTGCTTGGAATTTGCTCCTCGGTGCCCACTGTTTTGGGATGAGGTCCATGCTCCCTGCCATCCAACCGCCTCCCACCCCTCTCACCCCTCACCCCATATCCCCTGCTCCCCCCACCCCAGGCTTCCTCTCCATCTCCTGCTAACCTGCCCCCCTCCACTCCCTTTCCTAGTGAGCCCCAGGATCTAGGGACCCCTCCCCTAAGAAGCCCTCTTGACAGCAGCACCCCCTGGGGGAACAAAGCAACCCTTTGGTGCCCCCACTGGGTGCTATTAGAGGGGATAATAAGGAACAGTTCTTTATTTACTCCAATGTCCCTCTTCCAAGGCAGTGAGTGACCAGGGGGCTGGTCTGCTTTGCCTTGGGGCCTGCGAGCCTACCTCACCGGAGGCAGGCTGTCAATCTCTCCTGCAGGCAGCCACTATTTTGATTCCCTTTCTTCTTCACCACAATCCTGGAGATACGCTCCTGTTACAATTACCATCTTACAGAAAGGGCAGGAGCCCAGGGATGGGGGGAGACTTCGTAAGTTCACACAGCCACATGTAGCAAATGGGAGTCCTACAGAGGCTTCCAAACTGATACGCCTAAGTGGGTGACAGGGCCGTGGGGATGTTGACAAGGGGCCTGGAACGTTCAAGGAGCCCCCATCATCTGCCCCCTGGACCCCTGCAAGGCTGCCTGGCCTGCATCCTCTCTTCCTGGCCCTCCTCCTCTCTGCCTCTTGTTGCCTCCATTACAACTGCTGCTGCCTCCTTGCTGTGCTGGCACATTCTAGGCCTCACCCCTCTGCTGGGGCTGTGTCCTCTGCCTGGAGCACTCCTCCCCAGATGTCCTCATGGCTCCCTCGTTACCTCCTTCAAGTCTTTGATCAATGTCACCTGGCCTGTGAGGCCCACCGGGCCACCCTCCCTAAATCCCCAGCCCCTCCCCCGGCATTCCCAATCTTCCTCACTCTGCTCTCCTCTTTCTCTTTTCACTTATCCTAACTTACGAGATAATTTACTCATTTACTGAGTTTTTATTTATTGCTGTCTCCCCCTACCAAAGGTGAACCCCAGGAGGACAGGGTTCCTTGTCACATCAGTGCCGTAGCTCTAACACCTAGCACAGGGCCGGGGCCACAGGTGTTGCCTAGTAGATAGTGTTGAATGAAAGAGAGCAGCGCTCAGAGTCATCAGGAGTGGCAGGGAGGGTCGTTACTCAGGGGGTCAGGGGTCTCCCAGGCCCTTCCTTGTCCCTCGGCGCTGCTCGCCTAACTCACCTCCGTCCTGTGTCCTGTGTAGTCCTGTGTCTGCACTGTGGGTGTGGCCTGACCTCTAGCTGCCAGCCGAAGCCTGTCATTGGCAGGCCGCCTAGCCCCTTTCTCCTCCCCTAGAAGGGCCGGAAGACTGAAGGCTCTGCCTGGCAGGCTGTCAGCTCTTGGTTGAACTCGCGGCCTGTTCTCTCCTGCCCCCTAGGTGGATGTGACTGTGGCCAGCTGCCACCCCAGCACTGGGCTGCCCTGGGAGAATTTCTGTGAGGATGAAGCAGGATAGATAGCTTAGCACGAGGCTGGCTGGGCAGCTCCGTGAGTGCCAGCTATGGGACCCCCGTCTTTCTCTTCCTCTCCCTGCCTGTCTGGCTCCGTCTCCCAGGGCCTGGGCCTGGTAAAATGCACACACTTTCCCTCTGCAGAAGGAAACACCACAGTCCCCAGTTGGAATCCAGAGACCTGGGTTCAGATCCCCGAGATGTGACTCTGAGTTCTTTCACTTCTCTAAGCTTCCCTCCCCTAGTCTGTAACTCACAGGGTCTAAAGGAAAGCTCTTGGTCAATTCTAAAATCCTAAGCATTTGACACTGGAGATTATTACCGTTTTCTTGGTTCCCCATGAAAGAATTTCTTTTTTTTTTTTTTTTAAGATTTTATTTTTTCCTTTTTCTCCCCAAAGCCCCCCGGTACACAGTTGTGTATTCTTCGTTGTGGGTTCTTCTAGTTGTGGCATGTGGGACGCTGCCTCAGCGTGGTCTGATGAGCAGTGCCATGTCCGCGCCCAGGATTCGAACTAACGAAACACTGGGCTGCCTACAGCGGAGCGCGCGAACTTAACCACTTGGCCACGGGGCCAGCCCCCCATGAAAGAATTTCTTAATTCCCAGGAGTGATGTTTGATGCTGGAATTTCTGATTCTTCAGCAGCCTGCTGGTGAGGTATTCACGGGCAGATATGTGAGGTCTTCGGTTGTACAGGATGCATTGATTTGTTTACTCATCAATACGTATTTTGGAGTGCCCACAATGATCTAAGCACAGGGGTACAGCAAGAAGCAAAAATAAAACTAAACAAAACTGTCTCAGTCCCCTGCCCTTGGGACACATCCTGGTGGAGAGTTGGGGGCTGCTGGGGAGACGAGAGTCACAGTAGGGCTGAGCTGGAGACCTAGACAGGATACTCACAGCCATTTCTAAGGACTTGATAACTTTTTTGAGCTTAAAACCTTCTTGCCCTCTCTCTGATCCCACTGTCCCCACGCCCCTTCTGCTTTCCCTGTCCAGCTCATCTTCATCCTTTCATCTCACGACAAATGTCATAATCTCTTGGGAAGTCATCCCGGTCTGGATTCAAAGCTCCTGAATCTGCTTTCTTAGCCCCAGGCTTTTGCCCTTTGTGGTGTAATAAAAAATACATCTTTGGTCTTTTTTGTGTGTGTGTGAGGAAGATTGGCCCTGAGTTAACATCTGTTGCCCATCCTCCTCTTTTTGCTTGAGGAAGGCTGTCCCTGAGCCAACATCTGTGCCACTCTTCCCCTACTTTAAGTAGGAGGCTGCCACACCATGTCTTGACAAACGGTGCTATGTCCACCCCCCAGGATCTGAACCTGTGAACCCGGGGCCGCTGAAGTGGAGCATGTGAACTTAACCACTACTCCACTGGGTTGGCCCCCATATTTGATCTTTATTCCCAGTTCCTAAATAAACCTTCAGGAATTCTTAAAAATCCTTGGAACCTCCTGAGTGAAAAGACTTGTCTTCTGTATCTGTGGCTGGGGGCCCAAAGATAGTTTCAGGTTGCGGGGTGGTTGCCAGAAAGACCAAACCTTAATTAGAGGGTTGGGACTTTTAGTTCTTCCCACCCCCCCCTACCGCCAACCTCCAGAAGAAGGAGAGGGGCTGGAGATTGAGTCAGCCACCACCGGGCAGTGGTTTAATCAATTATGCCTACATAACCAGACCTTGATAAAAATCCCTAAACAACGAGGTTTGGGGAACTTCTAAGTTGACGTGTGGGGAGGGTGGCATGCCCAGAGAGGGCCTGGAGAGAAGCTCGATGCTGCCTCCCCCATCCTTATCCTGTGCAGCCTTTCCAATTGGCTGTTCCTGAGTTGTATACTTTATAATAAACCGGTAAACATAAGTAAAGTGGCTTTCTGAGTACTGTGAGTCGTTCTAGCAAATTATTGAAGCTGTGGAGGGGGTTGTGGGAACCTCTGAATTTATAGCCAGTAGGTCAGAAGTACAGGTGGCCCCTGGGATTTGCAGCTGGTGTCTGAAGTGAGGGCAGTCTTGTGGGACTGAGCCCTAAGTCTGCGAGGTCTGTACTAACCCCGCGAGTTAGTGTCGGCATGGCATTGAGTGGTTGGATAGCCAGGTGGTGGTGGAGAATCGGAGACTTGGTTGTTGGTGTGGGACAACCACACATTTGGTGTCACAAATCGTGCTAGAAAAAGATGCCACATCCTTGGTCCCCTCGCTGCAGTGGTGGCTATTTTTTCTTTCATTATTGGTTTTTGTCTAAATCACCAGTGAAAGCAAGGATTGCTTTGCTCTTGGTCAGTAATGCAGTCCCAGCCCCAGCCCAGGGTCTGGCCTAGGTAGGTGCTCAACAAACACTTGGTGGATGAATGAATAAATAAAGGTTGGCAGGAGCCATCAAGATTTTCTACCCCAAGGGCATGGCCAAGCTTGAGGAAGGACTCTGGAGCTTTGGCAGTTTTTTGAAAGGTAGGGGTTGTTGTGGGTGTGTGGGTCTATCCTATCTGTACGTACTTGTGTACCCCGACATGAAACCCTATCCTCTAGTCTCAAAGCTAGGGATTCCTTTGGGACTACTTGTACCAAAAAGCTATGTACACAGCTGAGATCCTGGTCTTTCTGCTGCCTTTCCTGATGGCTCCTGCCATCCTGTGCCCTTCAGGAACTCAAGGTGTTAATATCTCAGGAGCTTAAAAGGCTCCACTCAGGTGGTCCTTCTATGAAAGAGTTGCTCTGTAAAGTGAGCAATTTTCCTCTCTCCCCATGTTTCTACTCTAAAATTTGTCTTGTCTTATGATTAGCCTTAGTATCCATCCACCCCTACCCATCATTCCTTGGACAAATATTTTGGGAGCCCCTGCAGTGCATTGGACGTTGCTCAGGGTGGGACCCAGAGGGAAACCAGGTCTCAGTGAGTGGGGTGGGATGTTTATAGGTTCTCTTGTTTCCACTGCATAACAACTCTGGAAAACAGGATGCATCTCCCCATTTTTCAGGGGAGGAAACAAGCTCAGAGAGGTGTTGTCACTTGCCTGGGTTTGTACAATAAATAGATTTCAGAGATGGTTGTTGAACCAGATCTTCTGATGTCAAAGACTGACCTCAACCCATTTGTGCAAGATTGGGAAAGAAGTCAGGAAACGCAGGGCTCCTGTCATGCAGGATTTCTGAGATGTGGTGACTCTGGGAAGGTGCCCTTTCCTCCTGGGTCTCGGCCTCCCCATCTGTGGTGTGGTGTGTTTGCTCACTAAGAGGCCTCAAAGCTTACCACCATGTCCCGAGATAGTGTCCGGCTTGTGTCTTGAGGTAGAAGTAGGACCAAGCTTTGAGACCTCACCCAGAAGGTCCTGCTGGGACTAGGTGGGCCTGGATCCCTGAATCCCTTTTGCTGTTGGCAGTGGCTGTACACAAGGTGGTGGCTTCAAGGAAGGTGGCCTTGACCCTAGTTTGGAGAGGAAAGTTCTGGGTTCCAACGTGGCCTCTGCCAAGGGTTTGTTCTATCACTGCCCACGGGCAATTATTTCATTTCTCTCTGCCATAACTTCCACATCTTGACTCTCTTGAGATTAACCTCTTGATGTTCTTTTAATATTTGATGAATTCCGTGTTTAAATAGTTTCACCATCAACTTTGGAGCTGACACTGCTCTATATGTTTTGGATGTGATCATTTTAATTTTTTGCTCCAAATGATTGAATTCTCTAGCTTATTTTTTTTAATGAAAACTTTCAAACCTGCGTAAAAGTGGAGAGAATGAGATAATGAACCCACGTGTACCTAAGACACAGGTTTAACAATTATCATCTCGCATCTCCCTATTCTTTGTTTTTAACTTTTTATTTCGAAATAACTTTAGACTTTCAGAAAGTTTCAAAGAATAGTATAGAGTCTCTCTATGCCTTTTACTCAGCTTCCTCCAATGTTAACATCTTACATAACCATAGTGTAATTATTGACACTAAGAAATGACACTAACACAATACTATTAGCTAATCTTCAGAACTTATTTAAGTGTGTTGGAGGGTTCAAAAGATCAACCTCAGGTTCAATGATTTGCTAGGACTCTCAGAACTCAGAGAAGCCGTTCTTGTTGTCCTGGTGAGGTGTTTTTTTTAAGAATGTCCCTCAATTTGGATTTGTCTTGAGATTAAACTCTTGATGTGTTAGTATTTGCTTGATCATACCTCATGTAGATAACATCTTCATTTCTATTTATTCAAATGCATCTGTCTTATTTTGCCAACAGACATAAATTTAGCTCCTCGTAGGTAGGACTAAAACGCTATTTTGTGTTCTTTCTATTTTTATTGCTTAAAAATATTTAACTTTCATTTAGAATGTTTCCTTTGTATGGTATCAGGTATGAATCTAAATTAATTCTTTCTTTTACATTGTTATTCTCATGCAGAGACATGTATTGTTATTTTTGTAGAACAAATTCATTTGCCAAATGAATGAGTAAATATTGAAGGGTTTTGTGTTACCCTTAGCAAATTCACATGTTAACTTCTTATATTTGCTTGATTCTGTTTTGGAAATATCAATTCTGTGTCACTGGTTCATTATTTCTGCCTGGACTTGATATCATTTGGTTTTATAATTATCCTTTTGTTATATGTTTTGAAATTTTAAAATTTGGTAGAGTTGAGCCCATCATGTATATGCATATATCCTTGTGTATGTGTATATTTGTGTAATTTCTTCACATGTCCCCTTTGGACATTCCTACTTGCTTATTCTTCTAGGTGAATTTCTGTAGTGGACGTCTATCGTTTTTTGTCTGCTCAGCAACCCTTCACCCTTATTTTGCTAAGAGAATTCTTC